GGGAAGGAGGGATGAAGGGTAGGAGGGATGAAGGGAAGGAGGGATGAAGGGAAGAAGGGCTGAAGGGAAGGAGGTGTTAAGGGATGAAGGGCTGAAGGGAAGGAGGGTTAAGGGAAGGAGGGATGAAGGGAAGGAGGGATGAAGGGAAGAAGGGATGAAGGGAAGAAGGGATGAAGGGAAGGAGGGATGAAGGGTAGGAGGGATGAAGGGAAGAAGGGCTGAAGGGAAGGAGGTGTTAAGGGATGAAGGGCTGAAGGGAAGGAGGTGTTAAGGGAAGGAGGGATGAAGGGTAGGAGGGATGAAGGGAAGAAGGGCTGAAGGGAAGGAGGTGTTAAGGGAAGGAGGGATGAAGGGCAGGAGGGATGAAGGGAAGGAGGTGTTGAGGGAAGGAGGGCTGAAGGGCAGGAGGGATGAAGGGAAGGAGGTGTTGAGGGAAGGAGGGATGAAGGGCAGGAGGGATGAGGGGAAGGAGGTGTTGAGGGAAGGAGAGATGAAGGGCAGGAGGTGTTGAGGGAAGGAGGGATGAAGGGCAGGAGGGATAAAAGGAAGGAGTTAGTGAGGACCTAACTTCCTTTGTTTTGGTAAACATTTGGAAAACGGTCCCAAAGCTTTTTTTTTGTCGTTGGAGAAACGAAGATCGATCCCTATGGAGCCATGAGCAACGAACCACAAACACACCCTTCTGATGATACTCTCAGGCTGGGGCCACACGGAGACGATAACGAACCGAATTCGATATAAAAAAAGCCTTCAGTCAGTGGTCAGCACGGTCAGTAGCAGTAGCTACTGGACACGGAGCCGTTTGGCCCCCCAGAGCGTTGCGTCCACAGATCTATCCACCTTGGGACCCGTTATCGTTATTTGCGTTTCCCTGTCGGCCTCGTGTGGCCGAACCGTATAAGATAGAGAACTGTAGCGGATACGACCCGTTTCGACTCCGTGTGGCTGCAGCCTCAGATGTTTGTGACCAGCGTGTGTGTGTGTGTGTGTTCAGGTGATGCTGGCGGAGCTGAAAGGCAGCGATGAGGTCTACGCGGTGAAGGTCTTGAAGAAAGACGTGATCCTGCAGGACGACGACGTGGACTGCACTCTGACGGAGAAACGCATCCTGGCCCTCGCTCGGAAACACCCGTGCCTTACCCAGCTGTTCTGCTGCTTCCAGACCAAGGTACACACACACACACACACACACACACACACACACACACACACACACACACACACACACACACACACACACACACCATGTATACATCACTTCAGGGGACATTACATTAACTTACATGCATTTCCTGGAGACTTATCCTAACCTTAACCAGAACCAACACATGCCTAACCCTAAACCTTACCCTAACCCAAACCAAGTCTTCACCCTAAAATTAATGATTCCCCTTATGGGGACCTCCAATTTGTCCCCATAAGGGAGGCGAGTCCCCACACGTGACTGTGTAAACAGATGTAGGTCCCCACAAGGATAGTAATGCTAGGCCACGCACACACACACACACACACACACACACACACACACACACACACACACACACACACACACATGCTTTAAACCACCAGAGGGCACCATCGGACTTTTAAAGCCTCCATTGATGATGTATTTATAATTTAAAAGGGTGTGTTCGGTCCCATGATAAATATAAAGGGTCACCAGAGAATAAAAGTGATAACAGGGAGTTCAAAACATCTTTACCCTCTGAAACACCAGAACATTAAACATCCTCAGGCCTCAACAATCTTTAGTATATAAGAAGAAGAAGAAAAACATGTCACACCTGATTCCACACTAAGATGTAGGACCGGTAGACTATACATCTAATTAAATCAAAAAGGAAAATAAGTGTTTTTTAAGTTCTTGAGTAAATGTACTTTAAAGCTACTTTCCACCACTGCCCTTCAAATGTCAAATATGCCACAGTTACTGGTCCATTTGATTCTTGTTTTTCGTCATAATAAATTATTACCTGTCAATTAAATAGCTTTAGCTTTTGCATTTATAAAGGCAAAAGGAGTGAATCAGTAGAAACACTTTAGACAAAGTTTACAAGTTGTGAACCATTTCTCCCAGTGACGTCCAAATCCCACTCTGAATGTTGGATTGCAAATTTTACCTATCTTAAAAATACGCAACACGACGTGCAGTGAAACAGTTACAGCAGATCTTCTGATTTTCTCCGTCATAACTTAAAACATCTTTCTATTTTATAATTGTATTATATTTCTATTTTTGGTCCTTGTCTTACAATAACATTTATTTATGTATGAATCACACACATCTTGTTCTCAAGTGAGGGAACAATGGAGCGTGAGATGGGCCGGAGAATCGGAGTAGCGGGAGCGGTACTGCAGTCGCTTTACCGCACCGTTGTGACGAAAAGGGAGCTGAGCCAGAAGGCAAAGCTCTTTGTCTACCGGGCCATTTCCGTTCCTACCCTCACCTATGGTCATGAAGGATGGGTCATGACCCAAAGAACGAGATCGCGGATACAAGCGGCCGAGATGGGTTTTCTCCGCAGGGTGGCTGGTGTCTCCCTTAGGGATAAGGTGGGAAGTTCAGTCATCAGGGAGGGACTCGGAGTTGAGCCGCTCCTCCTTCGCGTCGAAAGGAGCCAGTTGAGGTGGTTCGGGCACCTAGTTAGGATGCCACCTGGGCGCCTCCCTAGGGAGGTGTTCCAGGCACGTCCAGCTGGGAAGAGACCAAGGGTTAGACGTAGGACCAGGTGGAGGGATTATAGCTCTTCGCTGGCCTGGGAGCGCCTTGGGATCCCCCAGTCAGAGCTGGTTGATGAGGGGAAAAGAACATTTGGGGCTCTCTGCTGGAACTGATACCCCAGAGACCCGACCACGGATAAGCGGGAGAAGATGGATGGATGCATCACACACACCAAAGAAAATTCCTCGTATTTCTGAACCTACTTTGCCTGTTTCTGATTACGATTAGAACTACTATATGAGATGCAATTACCAAATGATATTACTAGCTATAGCTGATAAATGTTCAACCATAAACAGATAAATAAGATATTAGGATTATGTTAGATATGTTTGTATGTTGAGTTTTATAGCTGTTCTTTGTTTGATACGGATTACTTCTAGCTGTGCAAGATACGATTTAAGAGCTAAAGACTTTATTACGTTATTGTTACCTCCGTTACTCCTCTCAAAGGTAACCCTCAAAGTATTGTTGTGTTCACACCTGTGCAGCGCTCAGCACATCGTGTACCCGCTGCTTCAGAAACTCATCAAACTGGAAACGGTACACACAGACACACACACACACAGACACACACAGACACACACACACACACACGCCTCAGGAACACTTATGTAACGTACGATAGACAAAACAAGAAGCGCCCGATTAGCTGCCGGGCGTTTAAAGCTCCTCTTTGTGTGGCGGTCTGTCATCGTCCTCTTAATGTACGAAGGGACAAATTAGCCGAGGAGGGGAGATTAGTGTGAATGAAGAGAAGGGAAATAAAGCTCAAGGCCTTCAGAGTTAGAGAACGCTCTCTGGAAACTGCTCCCAGTCTCAAAACAACACAAATTACATCAATTCATCAACAGGTATATCGTCCATTTCAAGAGAACCGACAGTATTCTGCTTCTGGGGGTGTTCCCTCTCCTGGAGTGTGTTCTCTAGGTGCTAGTGCATGTGAATGGTCTGCAAAGGCTAACATCCCAAAGTTCCAGACCAGGCTAAGGGGCGGGACATCTCTAAGCAGGTTGACTAATCACAATAGAGTCGGCCAGCTAACCAATCAGAGCAGACTGGGCTCTGGTTTCAGACAGAGGGTGAAAAGAGGTGCTGCAGCACAGGCAGTATGAGAACAAGAAAGAGCTTACACTGTAGTCCTCTTACTCTAACACGTGTTTAGTGGCATATTTGACATCTAAAGTGCAATTTAGTACAAGGTTAAGTTACTGCTTTCTTCATCTACTTATCAACAACTGCACAATTGTCTTATGCATTACATATTTGGACGTAACAACGTAACAGGCAGTATGAGAAAAAGAGCTTTCCGAAAATTAATATCCTGTTTAGCATAATGAGACGTTTTGATTCGCTCTGAGAAGTGACTATAAATGAGTTCTCTCTTATTCTAATAACAGTTGAATGGAGTTGCATCCATAGGTGACAGTAAAGCAAACTGAAGAGACTTAACACTCAGTAGAAGTTATTGTGCTCATTCGGAGTTGATGAAGGGCTGAGAAATGGGTGCATCCCATAATGACCGCTATGAAAGTTACACAGAAGCCTTCAGACGGATGTTTTTCAGTGAGAGTCAAACAGTGAGGGCAGGACGCTTTGTTTATTTTCTCAGACCGCTCGAGTCTAATGATGGCGTCTCCTGTTCAATTTATTTATTCCTGTTATTTTCCTCCGAACAACACACACACAAATATGTGCAGAGGGGGGGGGGGGGGTGAGAGTGAGAGAGAGACAATGTTTTCAGATCACATTTTTACACACACACACACACATACCATGTATACATCACTTCAGGGGACATTACATTGACTTACATGCATTTCCTGGAGACTTATCCTAACCTTAACCATAACCAACACATGCCTAACCCTAACCCTAACCCTAACCAAGTCTTCACCCTAAAATTAATGATCCCCCTCATGGGGACCTCCAATTTGTCCCCATAAGGGAAGCCAGTCCCCACACGTGACTGTGTAAACAGATGTAGGTCCCCACAAGGATGGTAATGCTAGTTCACACAGACACGCACACACACACACTCACACACTGATTGGGAGTGTGTTCTTGGACCAAACAAAGGCATTGTGCCTCTTATATAACGGCTTCGATGGTTATCAGGGATGTGATGTGTATTCCATATGCCGTGTAACCCCCCCCCCCACCTTTTCACTTCCACACACACACACATAAGACTCAATATGATTACGGTAAACAAACCCCCATTTACATTTTGTTTACGGAATATGATCTCTGTCTCTCTCTCTCACACACACACACGCACACTTCTCTTATGGCGCGTTTCCACTGCAGCACGTACCACGTTTTTTTTTCTAGGGGTAGTTCCGGCTCAGGGCTACTCTTTCACCTTTTTTCTGGCCCTCCAAAATCGAGGTTCTTACCGGGCCAACAACCGGGCTGAATACGCTAAACTAGTGACGTAAACACTCTCGACTGCTGAATGGTCTGAGAGAATCGCTGGCAAGGGAGCTACAACAACTACAACAAGATGAACATATTTGACCGTGATTTAATTGCAAAACACGTTTCTAAATGATGCCGAAGTAACAACATACTGATACCGGTTAGTAAAAACCATGAATTAATTGACAAGTCTGCAGACAGACGGCAGGCGAAAAACCTTTTTAAAATGCGTGTTTTCTAAATGGAGATCGGCTAAGCTAACGTTATATATGCTCCGTCCACACTCACAACAACGGCCTATACAGACATAAATAAAGCAGCGACTGTATTCGCCATGACACAGGCAGTCTGTGGTTTGTACTTGTTTAACTTCTGTCTAGTTTCTGAACAGATATGAGGAGCTGTGAGCTCTGAGTGCTAAGAGCTAACGGCTGATGTTATGGTTTTGTGGTTCGCATTGAAGATGACGTATTAGCGTGATCATGAATTTCTGCGTTTACCACTGTTATACAACATAAAACTGGCCGATACACGGCTTAGTGGAATGCTCCATTCTGATTGGTCAATGAGTACATCACAGAGGTTGTTAATTTTCGCTAACCGGACCATAACAATGTATAGGGCTGAGCAGAAAACACAGAAATAGAGATTGTCTCGAAGGCATTTGCAGTGTTTTTTTGTCTTTTTATCTCATGGATTAGTATAATACTCAATGCTGATTTGTCAATTTCTAATATTACGCAGTCTGCTAATGCTCGCTAGCAGACCGTTGCTAAGGAGAGCAGACCGTTACTAAGGAGAGCAAACTGTTGCTAAGGAGAGCAGACTGTTGCTAATGATAGCAGACTGTTGCTAAGGAGGATCGAGGGACTGTGTGCAGTCATATTAATCATATCAAAAGAAAGAAGTTCCGGTTACTTTAAAGTCAGCTGTGGACAACACACATCAGTTTATATCCATCAAAAAAACACAGAGGAATACTTTTTGAATATGTATTTCTTATTCTTCAGGAACTTGTCAATATT